CAAACTTTGCAAAACGCAGATGCTATCATCGCGCAGCATGAATGACATGTCAATTGGTTATTAAAATTCTTAGAAATTCTTTGAAAGCAATCTGCGCGTCTTGGAAACATGAATTAATTTCAGAATTTCTCCATTCCTCAGATTTGATTTTGAATTTATTTGTGGACTAAGAATCCATTGCATTGATGAATTTTTCTGATAAACCATAAACTGCGTGGTACAATCATGTTAAACATTCGAGGATTGCTACGTGACGAAAATTCTGTGAAATTCCGATGGAATTTCTTGTAAATACCGATTGGCGCGTTATCACGCAAATATATTCCCAATGAGATATAATGCGTAGTACATGTAAACATATGCATGGGATATGGTATGTGTTATACGGAGATTGCCATATGATGAAATGGTTCACTTCAATTTCAATTCACTTTTTGCGTATGGTGATATAATCCTAAATGCCCGTTTCCACTCAAGAAAATTTTCAACTTCAAAGTGTTTTCCGAAGGAAAATATGTGTCGGCCAATCATATTTTACAAATTTTTCTTTCCGCGGAAAATTTTCATGAGTGGAGATGGACCTTAACGGTTTAATTGAAGTTATTTTTGTTTTGGGTGCCCTCATTTTGCAAAACCCCGCAAGCGTCCGTGTTTTGTCTGTCATCAAGCTCTATGTGGTAGACGTTTATCTGATCTAAAGATAACACTGTAATGCAATTACCTGGTAATATTTCAGAGAAAGGAATTTTGTTTACGAGTTGGAACCAACATTGGTGATCTGACTGGGGTTCATGACTGGATAACATAACAGGTCCTTCATTGATAACAGCTTTTTAATAAGCTGATGAAGCGAACCCGTGTAAATATATTGAATTGTTATTATTATCTCGAGAATTCGTAGAATGTTTTGACAAATTATCTAAAACATGCTGATGACGCAAATGGAAACTGCAGATGAAATTAGGACTATTAATTAAAAGGGCAGCAAGGCACTCTCCTTTTGGAGTTTTCGGCCATTTCTGTTACACTTCCACGAATTTTACTTACACGACGAGAGAGGCAGCGCGTGGTACACATTAGGAAACTAAGGGATGCAAAATGTAACCCGAATGCCTTACATTTTCCGGGTGTACAGCCCTCGTGTTAAATTATTATCAAATTGTAGATGCGCTAAAACCGCAAACATCTGCGGAGGAGAATGGGGACGCCAACAACCTATATGAACAGGTTTTGTGATTGGTTGATGATAACAATGAAACACAGTAAAAGTAAACAATAAATTTTCTAAAGAACGACTAACTCCGAAAATAAACATTTTAATATTCTAGCTTTCAACTAAGATTCAGTCATCATCCGGATGATGATGACTGAATCTTAGTCGAAAGCTAGAATATTAAAATGTTTATTTTCGAACTCCGAAAATAAACATTTTAATATTCTAGCTTTCGACTAAGATCCAGTCATCATCCGGATGATGATGACTGAATCTTAGTCGAAAGCTAGAATATTAAAATGTTTATTGATGATGACTGGATCTTAGTCGAAAGCTAGAATATTAAAATGTTTATTTTCGGAATAACCGTTGTTTAATACAGTGGGCTAACAGTTACGCGTTCAGTTTACTCTTCCTGACACAACTTTTTCTAATTTCTCATTGATTCAATTTTCATCCAAATTTTAACCAAAATTTAATCGATTTGTCCTTGAGCATTGTCCATTAGTGCCACAAATTTTGTATTAATACGTTTGATGTTTTTAACTTTTTTATGTTGTCGCGCTGACAGACAAACACACGCATATGAACGCGCATGAAAACATGACCCGCTGGCCGAGATAATAAATATGAAATTATAAAATATTTTGCAGGGGGATGGAAATTTGATAACCAGTATGCAGATTGCAGACTCCTTTATGCGCAAGATAATTCATTTGATTTTTCGTTGTTTTTAATGCTTTAATCAAAGATGGAATCTTAGTTTTATTTAGGTGTCGGTGCACTTTGTCGCACATTCCAAATTCATGCATCGCAGAGCGAAACATCTTCACGTCAGTTTTGGGTGCCAAATAGACCAGAAATCTGCGCTCCAAGAAATCTTGCAAATATTCACATCTCATTTGCATACACAGCGCAATTTAATGACGCGAGTGCGCACGTTAATTGGTTCAGGAAACATCATGCATGCTCTCTCACATTCTAGAACTATTTATAAACACGCTAACACTGTGACAGCTTAACCATTCACTAATTTTAGAAATGATGACTGTAGTGGACATTCCGCTAGCTGTGAATTGGTCAACCAAATGTTCAAAGTGCAAGGCAAACAAATGTACAGAATTAACATAATTACTCCTGCCCAATATCTAGGTCAAATTATGCTATTGTGTACGTGTGCAGACTATATGCGCAGATTATTTGTTGCGCTATACATTGCGGTCAATCCAGTAATTCACGCGCAAAATATGTTTCCAAAGTAACAGTTTTGGGAATGCGCAAAGAATGCCAAATGACGGTATGTTACCTTTTCGACGAAACACTTTCATTTATTAACGCGCGCAGCCAGAGTATAGCTATTAATAGCTGAATTGTGACCGTGTGTTTTGAAGACCACAAATCAAGGTTATATAATCACAGCTACTTAAAATATTTGCTTTCTAGACACCTGATGGTATGCAAAGCTAACCAACAATAATTGTATTGATATGCAGGTGTACTTAGAGAGATTAAGTGGTCAAGTGGAAAATTCAAGAACATCCAAGTTTATTCAGTTTTAATGCGTGTAAAACCCTAGATAACGACAAAGATAGTTTGCCTATCCTTGTCCTTGACTTAAGTCGCTGCAGTTTGTAAAACATAGACATAGTGCAAGTGGAACGTATCATTTCCAAAGGAAAACTAATTGCAGGACAACCTATAATTGACATCCATGAGCTTATCATTAACTCCATTGCATCTGCTGAGTGCGTGGGATTGGGTTCAGGGGAGACATTACTTCTATTAGATTCCCCAGCGTTGTATGGATTTTGATTAATCATAAAAATTCCATGCCTTTGTCACCTTCAGTAGATTTTAACCAAATAGAGTCATCAAGTTGTGGCACAAAAGGTAGATTTACACCCACTCATTTTTGCATCTGAAAGTCTTTTGTATCTCCGGCCTTTGCAGTGTGGGAAATAGTAGGCGGTATTTAATTGACGAAACGCTCGATCAGTCTGTTTCTATGGCTTAGGCTATGTGACACTGTTTGTCTACACATGCTTGCTACATTTCTTGGGTGAGATGTAACAAATGACAGAAACTGTATTTCAAGTTTTCTGGGATCTATATAATCAGGATTCTCAGGAGACCAATGGTTTGAAAAACTCCAACATACTACATGGGTGTCAATCTAGGAAGAAGTACGATGAGGCATGCAACAAGTCATGCTCAAGTGCAATTCAATATACTTCAACATACACAAATACATGCAAAATGTATACATAAGGACTTTGTGATAATGTCACATTTGAGACCCATCACAGACGGGTTGTTTGTTAACTAATGTCAAGTGCGTTATTCGAGTTGAACAAGCATATTCATTGTCCTGTTGTTATACTGCTGAAGATTCGAACTGAAGACTTATTTATTATTATTAAACAGTGCTGTAGTCGATCTGTACACTTTTATTTTCCTGAAACTGGACTCCACAAAATTTAGCAGAAGTAAACATTCAGGTGATGTTTACTTTAAAATGTATAGCTTTCCAACACCCCCCACATGCAGCCAAGAGAGAAAACCCGAATATTTCTCCCATGCATAGAGATTTGAACTAGAATATATATAAGTACACACGTTGTAGTCTAAATTTATGATAGACAATACTAATATACTAGACATACTACCACAACTGCATTTTGGTATTCTTAAAATCCCTTTGACCATATATTTAAAAATATTTACCAACTAGTTTTATACAATAGTTATTCAAGCCAACCAACTAGATTTTCTTCGCTTTTCTAATACTTCGATGTATTGAAAAGGTTTTAATTATAGCTCGAATGAGGCGTATTATAGTCCCTATGCTCTTTCTAATGCATTTTATTCAAACTATAGTATGAGGTGTATTAGTCCCTATATATAAAGGCTATATAGGCGCATTTTATTCAAACTGTTCTCGTGCGCGCGTCTCTTCATTCATGCGATTTGGATGCGTTTCTTCACTTTAGTCCTTTTATTCTGGAACCAAATTTTGATTTGTTTCTCTGGAATGTCGAGTTCTACGCTGAGTCGCCATCTTTTCATTCCAACGATGTAACAATCTTGGTCGAATTCTTCTTCCAGTCGCTTGAGTTGAAATGAAGTGAAAGATGTCCGATGGCGTTTGCGTAAACAATCTTCCTCCGTTTCCAAATATACAGGATCTGTATAGACAATAAAACTTTAATTAGAATTGGAAAATGAATCGTTCTGTTGTAATTGTTAGTTTGAAGTAACTTCCAATTACATATAACTAACAATATTACAACAAGTGCAAGTGGAGATTAGCAGAGAGACATTTATAAATTAGGAGAGAGCTTCATTGATGATGATGAATTTGCAATAAATTCAAAATATCACTGTTGAATATTGTGTTGCTCTATTTAAATAAGAATATTTGAATGTTGTGTCCTTTTGCTCTATTTAAGTTTCAAGAACTTCGATTCGGAGTTTGTTTCAAGAGAGATTTATTTTTGTTTAATTTCACATTATGTGTTACATACATTTTTTAAAATAAATATACATTACAGAACATTACAATACATAGTTTCTAAAGAACAAACAAAGCAAGGTCTGACACAAGAACCTCTATGACTATGTACTGGATAAAATAAGTTCACACGCAAGGTATTAAATTCTGTACATCGTTCCAAATCATTAGCGAAGTGCTACACACTCAATGCATCCTCAAGTGCTTGAGAAAATATAAAAGGCATTCACAGGATTTGCAAATTATGTTAATAAACTCACATACTTCATTAGCATATTAAACCTCCACATCATGAAATTTTTGTTATATTTTAGTTATATTTTAGCAAACAGACATGCATATGTGTATGCAAGCAGATTACAATCTACAATACCATACGTGACTCTGTATAAATATTAATCCTATAAGTATGGTACTGCATCCATCATAAATGTTTTGAAACAAAAACTTTACTTCTCTTTAACATTGCTCTTGTACATTGAAGGTATAAGAATATTTTCATTCAGACGAAAATGTTCAGTTCTGTAAAATCAATGCCTTCGTCTTCGATGAATGCGGACAAATACGAAGCGAGCACATGCAATGCATGGTTGTAATCCAAATTTCGAACATGTTTTGAATCGATCCCTCTGATCTTCAATGAAAATGCGAATGTTTACCCAATTACCTACAGCATTATAGGTTGCCTCTCTAATATGCCACAAAACATACAGCATTACAATGAAGTTTTTGTTTTAATATAATATTTCCCATCTAGAATCGTCCAGCGAAGGCGAGTGAAATCTAGCCCACACAGGTATAATTAAGAAGCATTTATCAAATTCCAAACAAATAAATGGACTTTTCATTGCATTATAGCGAAGCATTTACTCACGGCAGTGATGATTATGCAAACAAAAGTTCAAAGAAAGGTCACAAAAGCATGAGAGCGTTGTTTTGTACAATGTTTCATTGTGTACAGTTACCATTACAAATGATTGATAAAATCGCTTATTCATATAGCCTTAACAAACTTAATTCGACATGGAAAATCAATTGCAAACATATATTACAAATCTCAGAATAACATTTTCCAAGTGGCAGCTCATATATTTATCATTGCGTTGGGGCACGCGAAGGCAATGAAATCAATCCCTGATTCTCAGGGAACAAAATACATAATACAAGTACCTTCTGGAGAATTAAATTGTATGACGATCATGGCGTTTTTATAACTATGTATGTACTAATTCAGATGTTAAGAGCCATGAATACAAGTTTAGATACACAAAAATCACCTGGCGATTAAATTGCCGTATTAACGACTCGTATAATAACAGACGAATGCAAACATTACATATTTGTATGAAATTTCAATGAATTTATCCACAAATGCAATTTCTATGAATTCAAATGAGCCTGCGCGTGCAAAGAGTAAATTCTCTAATGACAGTAAATTCTCTAATCTGTATTTGATAACTAACCTCGCGTACATATTTCTGAATCTGTATTTTGCACCTTCCGCTTCCTTTTGCTTCTAAAGTCTTCATCTTGTAGCTTCAAGCATCTTTTCACCTCAGTTCTATTCTCAGCTAAAATATTGTCAGTTTCCATAGATTTCTCAGTAAGTCCATGAAAGTATATAACCGATGGTCTATTTGCGTATATTCGTCCAGTGTATTCATTTTCAGACTGGTCCATGTTCGTATGGAGGATATGTTTTTTGTCACGGTTATTCGCCCTTGTAGAATGCTCTCACATATATGTGTTGCCACGTTCTTCTCTGTTACAGCTGGAATAATTAAAGCATCTGAAATGCTTGCGAGCTTAAATACCCCTCATGCACGGAATGCAATCAATCAAGCTAGCTCGCGGTGGGCTGAAGATTACTAGCTTGCACCGGTTCCGGCCACATTAATTCATTTCATAGCACATATAGTTTACAGCGGAAACGTGAACTCCTGCGAGGTTTTTATCCGGGATATAGTTTTTCAAAATGTTGTTTTGCTAAACTTGACGGATTTCTGCAATGGCGCAGAAAACCTGGGGGAAATATGAGGTTGCAAGTGGTGTCCATCATCGAGATGTCAGAGACTTTCAATGTAACGATATTATGTGGGTGGATCTTCAAACATTGTATGGAATGTTGTTTACTACCTTTGCTGTAAGGTAATCTTGACGTACTTTCTCAATTTTTCCTATCTTGACGCACAAACGTGCATCCTGATCTACCCATATATTGTATTATATCTGTTCTTTTAGTATATTTCACTATTTTTTGTCTATTTCCCTGTTGCACGCAGCATAGCATATTAGCATTTCCCTGTTGCGCAAAAACAATGCAATGCTATTTGCAAATTTTGCGCCATGACGAAAGCATATTTCCGTTCTCGTTGTGTATTTTTATTGAATTATATTTGCAGGCTACATTCTTGTGGCAACACACAGCCTGCATTTTGAAAACGTCTTGTAATTTTTTACGCTATTTCAATGCCATTTTATGTCAAAATTTTTGTACTATGACATTAGTATATCAGTCATATTTCTGTTTTTCAGCCCTGGATTGCAAGCAATCTCTTGAGAATTGGGCAGAAATTTATTTATCTTCGTTTGTATTGGAACATGCAGCCTAGTTTGGTTCTTAATAAACTATTGATTTTGAACGCAATATTAACTGATGTTGAAAACTTACATCATAAAATCGATTGCCGATTTTCACGTTTCGTCATTAATTGATGTATTTTAATGTGATCTGCAATTTTTCCACTATCAGCCAATCCACATTTTTGTTGGACGATAGCCAAATTTTCATTAAGCTTTTTGGTGATTCTATAATTTTTTGACAAATGGCAATATTATCTAGGTTATTTAGCATATAGCACGCGATCAGAAATTCGTGAGAGTTTTTCCGAGCTTAATTCTAACAATGTATAAGCATGCATTTGTGCGCTGCCCATCAGTGTTCTGGTTATTTTATTTTGCCTTCTTGAGATAAATGACTTGCTTAGAGTACCCTTTAAAATTGTTTGAATTCTTGATGAATCTTTATCTCTTAATAAATTAAGCGCAATTTATCGTGAATTTTGCGAATTAGGTATCTCGTAATATTGCAACAATATTGCAACCTGTCAAGAAAAGTTATTGCCCAAGTATAATCATGCACGAGCTCCACAAGTTTTTTCTTCGAAAAGGGGAATTTCACATGTGATTATCGCACTTTTTCATAAAAGTTAATCTGTGGCGAACTGACAAGCTTTGTTTATCAATGACAATATACGATTAAAATGTTTCCAGATTATATATATGCATGGATTGATGGATGACCTTTAATATATTTGATAAATTGGGCATTTGAACAAACAAATTGTATCTTCACACATATTACTCTGCACTAAATGCAACATGCAATGACCAATGTGCTAGGCGCATATAGCCATGGGCGAAATAATTTATCCAGCATCTAAGGTGTTAATAAGCATATCGAAATGTATCTATGCCCGGAAAAAGTTCTCAACAAACTCTTTGAAATTAATAGTAAGAAAGACTTGTGTATACTTAGAAGTGGCCGGCCGCTGGAAATCTCTTGAAATTTTTACTATTCAATTTCCTTCCCTAAACACAATATGTCATGAGTTGTTTCGTTATGAATAATACGACTATGTATTCAAGCCTATTTCATGCATGCAATTTTGCCTTGAAGAATGCGATTTTTTTATCAATCTGAATCTCCATTTTGAGAGCATTTGCAATTTTCACATATTAATGCACTTGCAGACCGCAACTGCTTTTCACATAATAAACTTTCAAACTAAATACTTTTAATTCATGAGCTTTAATGGATGCCCATATAAGAAGAACATGACACTGCATGGAACTAATTAAAATCTGAAGTCAAAAGACAATCTCTGAAAAATATCAAACTAACGTGCGTGTTTATAATTGCCCTTATATCTCATTTGTGTCGGTTTTCTTTGATCGTCCGAGGTTTATAACTAGCTAATATACCTTGAATAAATAATTACACCTTTCGACAAAACGCGAGAATTTTTCATCAAAAATTTTTGAAAATGACAAAATATGTTAGAAAACCTCCACAAATGAGATATAAGTTAGTTATAAACCGCGAAAGTCGGTTTATAACTGATATATTGCCCTCGGACGCTGCGCGTCCTCGGGGGCAATATATCAGTTATAAACCGCGTCCTCGGGGGCAATATATCAGTTATAAACCGACTTTCGAGGTTTATAACTCTAACTTGCCTACAGGACAGACACTTATTATTCATTCAGCCTGGGTTTTATTTGGTATTGTGAAAAGCATTAATAATTAATGAAGAGAACACAAAAGAAATCATGAGCGTGAAGGAGTTTGTATATATCTGATACAAAGTCATGCTGATTTACAAATAAACTTGAAGTTCAATTTTCTCACCAAATATCATTCATTTATTTTGAAAGAATACGAAATTTCTCATCCAGACGTTTCACGTACAAGCCATTTACAACATGATCATGATAATCCACGGACATGGAAATCTATCTGCCTAAAGTGCCACAAGGCTCGAAGTCTGGCTAGTCCAATCTCTTGTTGTTTTTAGCGAGTTTGGAATTTGGCTTTCTCCGCCACTGCCGCTACCTCTCGCTGACCTGGTGTGCATGTAATTGGTCAGCTCGATAAACTATAATATTGTTGGTGGCGGTAGTGGTAGTGGCGGTGGAAGTTGAATCTTGTTCTTGCTATGTATGCGTTGCGTTGCATTGCGTTGCGTTGCGTTGCGTTGTATTGCATTGCATTGCACTGCATTGCATAATATTCAATATTGTTCTGTGCGATGTAGTTTTGTATTGCGATATGTTGTTTTGTGTTGTATTCAAATTTAGCAATTTTTAAAGGGCCCAAAGTAATTGGTGTATACTGTTGTGGTGACCCTGCCACTTGTTTGTTGTAAGTGGCGAAGTTTAATAAATAAATAAATAAATAAATAGCATATTTACTCTAAGACAAAGGCGACTATAATTTGTATTCCTTAAGCATTCTAGTACGCCGTAATTGTTCAAACTGCTACGTTATTTACACATTTTCACGGCTCATGACCACGCCAACAGAGTAATTCAGTAAAACGTTCAAGTCGTTTGGGATGTTTTATGTGAATTCACTTACTATTGATCAGTACTTCAGGGAATTTCAAGGTTGTTTAAAAGGAAGACAAGTTCTTTTGAAACTGTACGTAATGTATGTTTTGGCTCGAATACAAAAGTATAAGTAATCTTGTTTTCTGCCGTCACCGGTACATGGCCATCGTAAGCATGTCAAGGTGGCCATATAACAATATAATAATATTATAATATAATAGAAAATACAATCAAACATCTCGCTACGGTCTTACCTTTCTGCTGTCTTGGTATGTTTTCTTTTAAAAAAAGGGGCACCTCTCTAATATAGAACAGTCGGTGCGACTATATAAGTAGCAATGAGAACAAACAACAGAGTTTTCTGGAACGTCGAACCTATTTTTCTGGTAGTTGTATTTCTCCTAGAAAATTCTGCTGTTTTTCTCTAAAATAAACACCTTGCTTTGTTTTCCGACTGCCTACGCCTGCGGTCTATATTTATCTCCGTAAAAAAATAACGATTGATTTACATGCAGCACACAAAAGGTAAGAAAGATCCAGACTGCGCGACGACCACGCTACCATGCCTTGAGCGCGAGAGCCGCGAGGAAATGAAAGCCATGCTTTATCAGAATATCGCGCGCGTGAAGCCAGCCTTTATGAGAATACCGTGTGATAGAAATTTGGAGAAAGAACGATGACGTCAGTGCGGAAGGTCAGTGAATGGTGGAAGTTCTTCTCAAGCGCTGTTATCTTATTTTTAAGAATGTAGTGGAAAAATATAAGGAATGTGCGATGGTTATCTCAGAAGCCGGATCCAATAACACTCTAACTGCGGATAGTAGTGATTTTAAAAGTAAAACAATAAAGGCCAAAATGACGACCTTATAATTCGCACGTAGAGGAAGACATCTTATGTGGACATCAATTGTATCCTTCGATGCTTTAATGAATTACTTCTAAAACAATATTATGCTATACCAGGTTGCGGACTGAGAGAGATCCAACTACCTGAAAATACAAACACACGTTCGAGATTTATACCAGGGAGAACTTGAGGCCCGTTTCATACGCCCTACTTCACATGTACCGAATACATTAAAAACAATAGATAATGAGGCATTTCAGCTCATTACCTATTGTCTTTAATGTATTCGGCACATGTGAAGTACGGCGTATGAAACGGGCCTAAGAGCAACAAAAGAGCAACAAAAACAACAACGGCAAAGTACAACAACAATAACAAAATGAAACACAAATAATACTCAGTTAGTAATTGCCATTATTTTGTAAATTGGAACACTAGGTCTAGGTTGAAAAGATGGATATAATTAATGGGATGTGATTCCATGTGACAATTGTATGAGGTTACATAGTAACCAAGGTTAATATCATAGGAACCGCGCGCTGTCTGGATACTACATGTGCCCTCAGGATATCGGATATAACGGAATTCATATTGTATATTCTCTTTACCGGCTAAAAGAAAAGGAACAGAAATATAGAATGCATTGAATGTAGTCGCCTCCTGCCCAAAGGCAAAGTCAGAGGTCATTTCTTACACCAAATACTCGAATGGACAGTATTATTAACACTTTCACCCAAAATTAATAAAGTCTCATTTTTTATGCACAAATTATGGACATGGCGTATTAAAGACATCCTGCATCACTTAATCCAAACGGAGTATGTCATTGCATTTGCGTTGGAGGGAAAAGCATTGAAAACATTTTTTTCTTTATCAATCTTAGTGATCTTGTAATTAATGTCAGTTTATAGATAAAAGTTGCTGGTTTCTAGCTGTAATTTGTTGAAGCGTGGGAGCAGCAATTAGAAATGTCACTGGAAATTAACCACGTAACTTTGTCCTTAATTCAATGTCAGATATATGCAAGAGACTGAGATTTATAGAATGCCATTTCCCTGGTGAATGATTTACGAGTCTTACAAATGAAAAGTTTAAAATCAGAAAACATTCATTGTTACTAATAAACCTAGCCATGATTCCCGTCCAAGCCATTCAGATTTTATTTGCAATGCAAGTTCGGAACAGAATCAGTCTAAAGACAAATTGTACACTGTAACAACATATTTATATATCACTTATGCAAAGGAAGAATTAGAATACAGAAAATTGTGTCTTTGAAAGAGTTTGATCAAAGGAAATTCCATAAGCCAGGAAAACATCCGATTGATAGGGTTGCAACCAGTGCCGGAAATCTTGGTGGGGCGGGGGGCGGCCGCCCCCCCCCCCCTCCACCTTCAAGGAAAATTGTCGAATTTTTGGAAATTTGACCTAAAAGAGGGCTAAAACAGTCTTTCAGTGCAAATGGGGGGGGGGGGTATGTCGGAAATTTGAGAGTTTTGTCGGAAATTTAGGAGGTTTTGCCCCCCCCCCCCTCCGGAAAAAATGAATTTCCGCCACTGGATGCAACTATCTGAAAAAATACAAAGAGAACTTGGACGTTTCGAGCGAAGGCCCTTCGTTGGCACTATACCTACACTGGCACAGATTGTTGAAAATTATAATCATAAGCAGCCAGCCTTCTGTCTTTAAAAGAAGTTTGCACTGTCACATATTTGGATCAAAGTACTAATCCATAGTGCAAACCAATCCCAAGTCTTTGAAAGAGGTTTACACTGTCTCACATTGTGATAAGAGAAACTTGGATAATGTGAACGGGCCATCGGATCTCAATTTTAAAATTAATATGAGAAGTTTAGACACTCTTACAAACTCTGATAAAATATGATAGTATAAACGAGCCTTCAGAGTTCAATCTGTAATAAAGAGGTTTAGGCTGTCACATAGTTGGATTAGGGGAACTTGGATAGTGCAGTAAACCAGCTTAGAAAATATAAATCTCGGGCAAATATTCTACATACAAGATCACATTCCAAGTGCATCTTAACATTGTTTGTAGACACCTGGAGATTTTTTTCCAGATATGATGTGTAATGTTAAACACGCGTGCCCACGCATTCCATTGCGAGAGACTCAAGTTACACCCTGTTAGATAATCGCTCACTATGCGTGATTCTGTTTCATCATGTAGCGTTTCTCCCACGCAATCTGAAACATTTTCTAACTCATCAATTCCAACTGTTCTTCGTAAAGGTCGAGGAAGGGTCATTCCTTATTTGTCCAGTACTACCATCCTCGTTCCCAGCTAAACTAAATTTATTGATCATGAACACCTTTGTAAGTTCTGTCCAAATTGCTCTCCCACGAGGTCGAGTTATCTCTTACTGGTGAAAAGCTGCGGTGTTTGGTTGAGTCAGACTGGAAGCACTCTTCTCTTCTTCCTTGTGACTGAGGCGAAATTACTATTCTCATCTTCTTCAGACATCTATTGTCCTGTATGTGGTCCTTAATTAGCACGCGACTGCCCTTGCCACAGGACATAGCTGCCCTTGCCACAGGACCTGATAGCTGCCTGTTTGTATGTCTATGTCCTTCATTCCGCCTGCATATCTTACTTACTTACTCTATCGCTCTACACTTCCTAAAGTTCCTATCATATACTTTCACATCGTTCTTCCATTTAAGAATTTTCAATATACAGTCTTAATATACTAACATGGGTAACATTTAAGTACATAAAATCTGGATTATTGGCAGTTGTCTTGCATGGGTCCTTTTTAAGAGTCCCGTTTGTTTGGGTCTTCGATTTATAAGTTATTTATTCTTAGGTAACTGTTACTGTTAGACTTGATAATATATTGTATGCATTACTGATCCAAATAAGTTTGTGGAAACAGAACGAAAACAGACGACTGGCGGCCTGGCGCACGAATTGAATTCCAGCCAAAAGGTGAAAGACAATGGCAATGAAGAATAATGAAGAATATTATTATTAATACCATCCAATGGCAATAACGAATAATGAAGCGATCGTATAATGCACCCACAGACCGCAGAACTGACCATTTCTCGCTCTAAAATGAATCAAAGTCACTGGGATGTTGTATCTCAGAGATCATTGGTTCAATAATGAGCCGTTCACCTCGGGGTTCAAATTTTGCAATAATGCAGATGTGCCCAAAATACTTCTACTCCAAGGGCACTCTGGTTTCCTCCTGCAACTGTCCGATTGTTAACCGCTTTCAGTTTTCCGGGTTTCTAGAATATTTTCTACTACCCAAAATTGCCGGAATATTCTCATTCTTGCCGTAGTTTTACTGTGATGAATCAACAGCGTTCTCTGATCACCCAGAGCGATATGCCAGCTACCCACGCTCCTCTTATCTCACAGATTGCATGAAGTGTTTACAACAAAGTTCTTGTTGAACCGCGAAAAGAGAACTAAATTATCGCAATGCCATAAGTTGTCGATAAATTAAGTCGAGGGTTGATGTCACGCGACATGATGATTGCTACTGACCGCAGTGTTTAACTGGATGAATTATCGTTCATAATCAAATTTGCTTGCAATGTGTGTATTAAACAGCAGATTGATGGAGGATTTAATATACATTCTACAACTACTCAATGTTCATAATTTATTTATTTCATACAAAGAAGAACGGTAACAAAACAAGACAAAAATTACAACTCCATGACTCCCGTAAAGCTGGAGTTACACGAGCAACAAAATTGCTGCAACTTGCAACAAAATCTAATTTCTACGCATGTTAATTGAAAATGTTTGCACATAAATTACAAATCACAAGGCAACATGTGTCGACATTTCTACCTAACATGCGTTGAAATCAGATTTTGTTGCAAGTTGCAGCAATTTTGTTGCTCGTGTAAATCCCAAGGGTGGGTTGACTACAAAATTTTTGTAGTTCGCTATAACTACAGCTACTTCAAAAATATGTAGTCAGCTACAACTACTGCTACTTTTGAACAAAGATAGTTTGCTACTGACTACAGCTACTGCTTAAAAAATGTAGCGAACTATTTCGCTACGCTATATTTTTTAGTTTTACTGTATTTGGAGCATCTACTAACTCAGGAAATCGACTTACGAGTAGCAACAGTAAACATAAAGCAACATGTTTGTAAGCACTACAGTGTTCAGGAGTGATTGACTACTGAGTATTGATTTTAAGCAAACCGTGTCTCAATATCATGCTATTCTATCAAGTTGCTAACAATTTTAAAAAGTAGTGAATAGCGATTCGCTGTTTGAAAAGTAGTCAGCTACTTGGCTACTTTTAGGCAAAATGTAGTTCGCTATAACTACAGCTACTGTTTTAAAAAAGTAGTCAAAAACTACTGGCTACTTGAAAATTGTAGTTCGCTACAGTAGCGAACTACAACTACTTCGCTACTACCCACCCTTGGTACTAAATCCAGCTTAAATAGTTGTAAACAAAACAGTATTTGCAAGCTTTTAGTAATTTTATTCGTTAGAAATTGTTTTAAATGATACCTCTGCACAATGCTAACAACACTTTGTGGCTTTCTTTGTGTTTGGAGGAACCGCAGCTTCGTTTAGTACAAATATTGCTCGTATGTAGCCAGAGCATTAACAACCAATCAAATTGCGCGAAACACACTGCCGACCTCCCGAATAAATACTAAAACTAACTATCCGATGGATAGCAATATCTTCGTACAACCAGCCCTTGAAGTTCTCCAATGCAAACACCTTTGCAATCATTCAATTGAACGTCGTACCAAATTCTCATTACAGGATGAAGAATAACCATCGACGGCAATTATGCTAAATCCTGGGTATCATGTTCCGATATGGGGACAATGTTCCGGAGTTGACGCAACGAAACCGGTCACGGTAAAATATGATCTTACAATATGATTTTAGCGCCACTATACCTTTCCAAACAGGTGTTCCACTGCCTACAATTTAACAGAATATGTATAGGTAATAGCATGGTTTCGAGTGCAATTTGGATATAACATTGTTTTATTTTGAAGCGCAGCAATCTGTGACTGTTACTTCTTTAAACTAAATTGCTTTAAACTGATTGGTTGATTTAATCATCACAATGTTTTTCCACCAATCAGATCAGTTTGTTACAGATTTTTGCACTGTGATTACAGAAAATTGCACTGTGATTACAAAAAATTGCACTGTAATTACAAGAAATTGCACTGTGATTACAGAAAATTGCACTGCTGTTTGGGATTAACTGCACTGAAATCAACCAATCACAGTCGAGTAATATCTGTATGTATATTATTAAATATATAATAATATACATGAGAGAGCAATGCCAAAAAATTAAATACAGTGCAAAAAAGAAATACAGTGCATATTTCTTAATTTTCTTAATTTTTTTTTCAAATTTCTTAATTTTCTTAATTTTCTTAATTTCTAAATGTGACTTACGCACGTGACTGCATAATTTTTTCATGTATATTATTAATAAGTAATAGTATGGTCTCTCGTGTATTGTGAAAAAAAAATACACTCGTGAGTGGCAAAGACTTCAAATTGTACTCATCCTTCGGACTCGTGCAATTTTGATAGTCTTTGAAAAACTCGCTCCTGCATGTTTTTTTTTCCAAATTGCACTCGAAACAATACTATTATTACCTATGCAAACAAAGTCCGAAAAATAACATCTTGATAAATCCAAGATATTGATGTAAACTTTAATATGCTTTTTATCACATACTAGCATGAATATCTTCATGATCAGCCTCTTCAACCGTATTTATGATAATTGGAAGGGGTGGACCATTAGATATGCTGGGAGGGGAAATTTTCCTTGCAAGAATTTTTTTAAGTTAGGAGCTTTGTCAAGCTTTTTTCACGTTGTAGCAGGATTTTTTTCCTTGCTTGCATGAATTGTTTTCAAATTCCACTCAGCTGCATGCATTTTTGGGGGGATCTGCCACCCTACAATCTTGGACAAAACCCTTGAGACCATTCCAGCTAATATTACAAAGTTATTGAACATTGACAAAACAAACTTTGTCTTCCCCTCCCAGTTCAATGTTGTGAACAACGCCGAAACAACTTTTGGTAATATACCATGATACAAGCCGAAACAACTTTTGGTAATATACCATGATACAAGCTCAACATTGAGTTGGGGGAGCGGGGGCTTAAGAAGGGCAACATGATTCAACATGGAGTTTATCATAAAAAAATGTGAATTTTCTATAGGGGGAAAATAGTCTCAACTAGTTATGTCCAAGATTGTAGCTCTTCCCAGGATATTTTAAAATAGTCCACCCCTAACCAGACGCTCTAGTTCTACGTCCAGGCTCCTCCTACAGGTTGCAAAAACAAAAACAGTAACCTTCTAAAACAATTTTTATGTAAGAACCTGAGAACGTGGTCATTCAAATGGTTGACTACGACTCTAAATTATTTCTAATGTTATGACCCGGAATTCCTCAAACTTATTGTTCTAGCTTACGGAAGCATAAAATAGAACAATGGTAACTACACTTTAGAATTATCTACATGCAAGCGGTGTCCAAAAAACAAAAACTATTGAAATAACGCATTGTTAGAATTTGAATGCCTCAGCACTCTGCTGAACCCACAACGGCACAAGTGCATGAAAGCTTGACAGAAGTAAATTTTATGCATAAAGAAACTGTTTAAGGTCTGTTTTATACGTCGAATTTGGGTTGCGTCGAATGCAATTCAAACAATAGATAATGAAGCTTAATGAGGTTTATATATCATCTCATTATCTATTGTCTTAATTGCATTCGACGCGACCAAAATTCGACGTATACTGACGGGCCTAAAGCCTGTTCTAAACGTCACATTTTACATGTGCCGAATCTACAGGGTGTCTCAAAAAAACCCAAAATCATTGAAATTGACGTATTGTTCGATATTCAATGCCCTAGCACTAAGTTAATCCCACGAGTGCATAAAAGATTGACATAACTGCTATAATGAATGGTAATACTCAGCGTAAACTTGTTATGTCAGGCATAAAGTACTAAACCCACGAATGCATATTACGCATATTACAATTTACGAAGCATTTTTAAATTCCCATGAGCAAACAAACGTTCACTTTACAAAGATATTTTAATTTTTTAAAACAAATTAATCACCCTGTCAAAATCCTTTGTGTTACGGCATTGAAATTCGAACAATACGTTATTTCAATGATTTTGTATACAAAACAATGGATAATGTGGCATTTCAGCTGATTATCTATTGTTTTGAATGCATTCGACACATGTAAAATCCGACGTTTAGAACAGGCCTAAGAAGCTGTTTTGTAATAAGTCAATATAGCTGTTTCTTAATATTAAAGTCAATATTTAATATATGCACCCTTGTCAATATTTTACGCATCTTTGCGTTCAGCTTAGTGCTAGGCCGGCCGCAGTCAAATTCTAACAATACGTTATTTCAATAGCTCAAGTGAATAATTATCTACATAAGTGAATAACTCTTTTACATAAATTACGGGAACCACTGAGTATTTTAATAAAATGTAGAACAACGGTAACTCCGAAAATAAACATTTTAATATCGACTAAGATTCAGTCATCAGGAATCAATTTTCTGATGATGACTGAGTCTTAGTCGAAAACTAGAATATTAAAATGTTTATTTTCGGAGTTACTGTTGTTTTATATCTTTTACATAACTCTAATGCTTAGTTAAGCCTAGTTTCCAATTGGTCGTTAGTTGTCGCTGGCACGACAAGCGGTAGATGTGAAATAGTCTTTCAAATACTCATTAATAATTCATAAGCTTATTGGCGAATCATGTCAACCATAATATGTCACGTGCAGTGGCTTTAAACCTGATAAAACACACTCGTAATTAGCATTCTTTATATAAAGAAAGGCAGTATCTATTGTAGTCGTGTCCTCATTAGTATTCTTTATATAAAGAATACTAATTAATAAGGCAGTATATCTATTGACTGATTTGTATAGTCGTGTTTGAAACCGTTTAATAAACTCGCAGGTCGTGTTTTATTAGGTCTAAAGCCACTCGCGCTGCGCGCTCGTGGCTTTAAACCTAATAAAACACTCCTGCTCGTTTATTAAACAGTACAATATCAATAGTCTTTTTGTGTGTTATATGCAAATCAGTCTTAATGATTGCAGAGTTTTATAAAGTTTTGTTGTGACACCGCTCTATTACATCCGCAGCCACTTGTCGTGCCAGCGACAACTAACGACCAAATGGAAAGTATAGGCTTTACCTTTGTTCTTCTCTATGCTTCTGTAAACTAGAACAATAGTAACCAGGCATGCGAGTTATTTAAAGTTGTGAATTGGGTAGCAAGCATCAACGATGTTGACGTTCGCTTGATTATTTTTCACCATAAATATTTCACTATTAACGGATTATTTAACTTCAAATATAGACCGATTACCATTGACTTTAATAATTAAAATGAGCTCCACTACAACCGGAAGTTCTCCAAGCAGTCCCTCAAATTTTGCTTCCAAAAACTAAGATCATACAGGCGCAAATTTGCAGGCGCTTGCGGGTTGAAACAATAAGCACGTAAAGGCCCATGGGATTGATGCATTCCCATATTCAACGTGGGATGAGCGACTGGGGACGCGTCGCTCGGCGCCAGAGTGCAGAGTCTGCATACAGACTACAGGTTCAGCGAAACAGAAAACGACCCCTGATCCAGGGCCTTGAACAGGGGTAAAAGGAAAAACAATAAGGCGCTCTCAGAATAATTTAAAATAATGACCTCCAGTTTATTCAATAAGAAAATTTATGGCACGGATCGATAAGCAACTAAGAGATAGATTCATTATTTATTGACAGTCTGCATGATGTTATTCACTATATTGGTTATTCTGCTTTCTCCCCGATATTGATCTATTTCATGCAAATATGGACAACAACATTTAGCCAACGGTAGATGAAGTATTCCGCGCGGTGTATTGTTTCTTCAGTTTACCATTCAAAACAGGCTGGAACGAATAAAAATTCATCAAGGTCACGAGTTCATGTGAGGAGGAGTTATGTGTGGCGATATTTGCTCACTTAATTCCGCTTTACTTCTGTTTATTTTAATATTCTTAATCTTTAAATACTATATACCTGCGGAGGTGGCTGCCAAACGGGAGCTCCTGTAGTTGCTCGTTAAATTATGGCCAAGTCCGTGTTTTTCTGCTTTTCTATCCAAGCTATATGTAAGTAAAGGTTATGTATTTATAAATATTTGATAAATAAAGTTTGTCGTTGTCTGTGACTTCTGAGCTCATGATACGAAACAGACAAACAAAGAAGACATGAAAAGATCTGACATTTTTAAAGTGTTGTCTATTGAGTATGCGTGACTGGGACGTACTTAATGGACCATTTGCATTATAGACTAAATTTTGATCTAGACAAAAATTTCATCACAGCTTGAAAGAGCATAACAAAATTAGTAATATTCCAAAGTTTCGTTGCGAAATGTTGTAAAATGCGGATAATGTAGCCTTGCGAAGTTTGCAATTTTCTGTCATTTTAGTACAAACGGGAAATCGACAACCTCAAAGCGTATGGGGTTGTCAATTTCCCGTTTGTAATCTAAAATGACTGAAAAATGGCAAACTTCGCAAGGTTATATTCGCATTTTACAACATTTCGCAACGAAACTTTGGAATATTACTAATTTTGTGATGCTCTTTCAAGCTGTGATGAAATTTTTGTCTAGATCAAAATTTAGTCTATAATGCAAATGGTCCATTTCAGATATAATTACCACGCAAAAATTTCGCCATCTCTACAATACTTTTTCTATTTTATAGGTGTAATATTTACCTATGGGAAGCATTTACAGAAGAAAGACCAACAATTCATTGACAGTTTGCAGCAATACGAGTTTGTTGAACCAAAATTAAGCGAATCTTTTACAGTTCACAACACTGGCGAATTACCGGTACGTCCAAGTTTCCATAAATTTCAGGAACATAAATTTCAGAAATATTAGAAACCTGGAATATGAATGTCTGCAGACAATCTCCATTTTGACACCTGGTTAGAAATTCAAATATATTGTCTTTGGTTTCGTAATATTCACATTACCGCCTACGATGGTCGATGTAAAACTAGCAATGTATTATGGTCCTAAAATAAATGTAATTTTTGTTCATAAGTTTAATTTTTAAACCATTTTAGGTCGAAGAAAAGAGACTGCTTTCTTTCCGTTTCCAAGGGCAGACTATTAAATTACAGCTGACACCAAACAGGTAAAATAAAGATATATTTTTAAGTAATTTGAATTGTTATTATTATTATTTTTCGATACGGCCACCCCCTCAGCAGTGAGGATTTTTGGCCGGAATTACATTGCATTAGTTCGAAAGGTTCCCAGGATATTTGACAGGCGCAGAAATTCGGACAAGTAAATTATAGGCAGCTGATTTTATCCGTGTTTATTTAAGATGCAATTATTGTGATGATGATTTCTTTTGTAGGTAAATATTTACTACAATAAAGCGAAAGCGGCACCAATTTTCTTGCATTCTCGTTAAGTTGTTAGCCTTAATTATACCTGAGTTTTTGAAAGAAGTTTTATATTCCGTTTTCGATTTCCTTGTTGGTGTTGAAATATTCAAATCTTTTACAATGACCTTACGATAACCTTTTCAAAGTGTTTGTTGTGGACTCATGTTTCAAACGTGATAATGCGTTTAGGAATATTCATAAGCGCCTTCCGTCTTTCCTTCGCGTTTATCATTACTCTCTATATAGGAGTGCTCAGACAAGTTAATCCCTTTTATGATAACCAATAACTAAAGTCATAAAGTAAAAATATTAAAAATTTAATTAGGCTTTCTCACGAAGGTCTAAATCCGCCATTTTTGGATACAATTTTATAAACGACGTGACAAATCTAAGCGATGTGAAAATAATTTTTCAAATATTCAACTGTAAATCGATTTATAATGATTATATCACTGGATTATACTCAGAGCTATGGTTACGTTATAGAAAGTTTCATTTCCACCGCTTACAATCCCTGTTCTTAAAAGGTTGCCAGCCAAAAATGGCGGTGTGAGAAAGGCTATTTCATTCACCCAGATGATGAGACGTGACGGATCCTTTAATTGTTTTAAGACCATGTGTTTCAGTGTTTGCACACGTAAATTTGACATCAATAGGGAGCTTAAGCAAGTGACTTTTTTGTCAACACTGACGCCAGCTCGTCGAGGGGGACTGGATTAAGAACTGTGTTTTTGTCAGTTTGTGGTAATCCTCAACACATAGGACAAAACCTAAGATTTAGTTTAAAGTTTTTTTGCTTCCTTAGACGAGCGTCGGGTGACGTACCTGTTGAAAAGAACGTCGCTTTCTTAGGGACCGGTCATTATTTATGGTGGGGGCTGGCACCGAAGAGAAATGGTTTTTGTGGCAAAAATTTTGCTGACCCAACCATTATTAAAAAGCCAAAAATTTGATTACCCAACCTCAAATATGGATTAAAAAATAAATACCCACCCCTGGCCAAAAACTTTACAAACGGATACCATTCAGTTGTCACACATGTCCTTTACCACTTCTGTGACATGAGCTTGATAACTGCTTGTGCAATTTTCTGCAGTCTAAACTGATTTCATGTTGTCTGCACATGTACTTTCTTTGGAGACACCATCTGTCTCTCAACATATCAAGATAGTGACTCTGATTGATTCACATATTATATTGACATCTGACTGTTGACAGTGCTTTTTGGTCTCCAATATTTCAGTGAGTCATGCTTTGGAAATGACAATAAATTTTTATTACCCAACCCTTGAGTTGTTTTCTTTTTCATGTACCCAACCTTTTACTCACTCAAAATTTTGTTTACCCAACCCTTTTCTCTTCGGTGCCACCCCCTGCCATAAATAATGACCGCTCCCTTATGCTCACTAATATTGGACGCGGACGTGACAAGAAATCCACCTTAAATTCGCAGTGTCAGCAACACGGGTAAAAAATATGGATTATTTTTATCAACAAAGAAAGATACAGGTGAAAAACAAATTTAAACTGGTAACAAATCCAAAAGAAAAGCATAAGTAACTGTCTTTTGTCACGTCCGCGTACTACATTTAGCTCATCTTAAGTTCGCTAATATCCTCTCGCACGTATCTCTTGGATCTTCACCCTGATCTCATCCTAACCCTTTGTACGCGAAACATGAATATGTATTAACAGTTCCCTCAAAAATGCACATTTACACAAACAATGCTAAATTGTAAATTTATTCATGTGGTTGTTTTCATACTGTGTTCATAATTTGAAGCATCGTCCCGTTTGTCCCCTCAAGGAGACTAGGAGAGGAGGATCGCCTCGACACCTTGACATCTTTCTAGTCGGCAAATTGTTTTCGTAGTCGGCAAAACATGAATTGGATAGGAAGGAAAAGAACTAAAATATATGAGTTACACTGTTTGAGAAGTATAATTATGGCAAAAAGTTTGGGAAATTTACGAAAACATTAAGAAAAATTAACTGAATAAGGTACGTTAACCATGAAGAAAATTAATTATGTACCGCCTTCTACCACCTCCAACAATTTTGGGAAAAGAAATATTAATTAGTGGTTGAAACGACTCGACAAAATTGCACTTACACCCCTCCTCACCCCCCCCCATTAAAATAGGGCTACGATCATCCCGAACATAATCCATCCACCGCTTTCTCAGTCGTCCTCTCTTTCTTGTTCCTGATTCCCTACGCTCCACACCCCATCTGACAAACTCATGTTCCTCCATTTCTCTTCACGTGGCTATATAGCATCTTACACTACTTTTTCGCATCTTCTCTCTCAGCTCCACGACCTTCAATTCCTTCCTTGTGTCTTTCTTATGTCTGTAGCTAGTAGATATCTCATCTCCACTACTTCCAATTTCTTCACTTGTTCTTCCTTCACTGCCCAAGTTTCTGCGCCATATAGGATCACCGATGTTGCCATTGTTCTGTACACTTGCGTCTTCAGTCTCATTGGCATCCGTTTGTCAAATATTATTCCTGCTAAACTATTTACTGAGGCAGTCATGTTTCCACATGCATGGAACATGGTATTTCAAGAGTCTTGTGCGTCCGGACAGGTATTCAAAAACTTGAAATCAATTAATAAAAAAACTATTTTTATTATTAAAAATATGTGTTAGTCCGGATTGCAGACCAACCACTCAGGAACCAATCAAAATGCACCACCTTGCCATATAACAAAGTACATTATTCTAATGAGACATCAGTCTGACACCTATGTTGAGATATCATTTTGAACTATATTGAGTGTGGATGTCTCCAGCACGTTTTCCGTATATACTTTTTCACATCCCACGCCCCGCGATTTCTTAAAATCACGCAATCTATTCTTCTTTCATCCCAAATATTCGTAATGTATAAACATGAATATGTAGAAATTTAAAAAAATAATATGTAGAAATTTTGAGGAGGATTTAATGTGGAGGCGGAAATCTGAGAAGCCTGAGAAAATTAGAATATTCTAAAACAACTTGTAAACACCTACGAAATTTCACACAATTAGGAATAGTTATTTCATGAATCGAAAGTAGAGACGTGATCTGTTGGCATTGCAAAGTAAACTGTTGATTAATTACTGGAGTAGGTACAGTAAGAAAATTTGAGACTTTATGAATAAGCAAAGCTAGCTCAGCGAGCGTTTTAAAATTTTTCGTCATTTATTCTGAGTTTTATATTTTCTTTCAGAAATTTACTTTCTCCGAACTTCTTTGAAAGACATGTCACTACACATGGATACAAGATTGTTAATGAGGTATACTAGCCTCCTCTATACATGCATAGCCTTTAGATTTGCAGGCAGAATTTGGTTGCAGGTACAAAGCAAGTAAACCAGATGAACTACGAGATACCTTCGGAGGAGGCTAATGAAAAGATAGAGGATATCTTCAATTTCGTTGTAATGAGCAAGACAGTGAGTCAGGAATGATTACAGCCATCAGTTCTAAACTTTTCTCCTTCCAGCAAGAGCCATCAAGTCTCGCCACAAGTCTGCCTCAATACCCCTTTTAGCGGGCAAGTTGAGTTCGGTATCCCTACATGTATGATGTATTAGAGAGGCTCAGATTTGACTTCGTCAACCAATTAGATACGTTTAGTATATATCCGATTAACCAATCAGGTCATGTGTGTATTAAGCCAGTGAGAATTATTCAAAGCGGTAGTCGAAGACCAGAGTACTTAGGAAAACCTGTGATGATTTGTTTATAGTTAAACTATTATAACGAGACATGCATATTCTGGGAATCAAAACTCGCGGTCATACTAAAACACTGGTGCAACCGCAACGATGACAACACAAACATAACCAACAACGACAACAACTGTGTTTTTTTTTTCATTTTACAAGGCGCCCCGCAATTGCTATTTCCATGGTCATGTTGAGAGGCACAAAGATACATCAATTGCAGCAATTTCGTCTTGTGATGGGTTTGAGTAAGTATAAAAAAGTGCCACTTAAATATGCTATTTTTAATTATGGTATTAGGGACGTTCAACGACTGACCTGAAGCTAAATTATACAACGTATTATAACTGCCTCTTAAAATTTTCTAGAGGTTACTTTACTTTGGAAGATAAGACATTTTCAATTCAACCCGTGGAATCGTTAAATGGAGAAGTAGGGTCGATAATAGAACCTTGAGGGACACCTCAGATTTTTCAGTATAAATAGAGTTGATTAGCAAGTATTTGATTAAATTTATGCATATATTTTTAGCACATTACCCACTGAAAAACACTTCAGTGACGTCCGGATAAATATAAATATAATAATAATGATGAATATATTGTGCACTGCATTGAATGAGACAAACCTCATTGTTTCTTTAGGTGCTTCACATAGTGTTTGAATCTGAACATGCGAATTTGCCAGAATATAAATGTGGTTGGTACTAAATATTTTTTTTGCTTTAGAATGGACCATTACAAATGTGAAGGGGGTGGGGGAAAGAACAGAAAAATCCACACAAGCAAAACTTTTTGAAAAACTTCCATACAACTACAAGATGGCAGAAAAAATGTATCACAACACGAAACAAAAACACATGCACACCAAGTGAACCGAGGGGTAAATTACTCTGAAAAAAGCGTACGAAGATTTTTGGGATTAGAACTGAAATCCCGGCAATTTTTCTCGGGATTCCGGGATTTTTCCCCAAATTTAAGGGATTTTGGGATTTTTTTCAGCTGATTTTTTCGAAATATTTTCCCTTATTTTTTTTCGCCGAACTTTTTCCGACATTTTTTGCGACATATAATCCGTCGAATTATTGTTCAGAAATAATGTAAATCAACGGAGGGTATTTTCACGGCAATTCATGATTTAAATGTTTAAATTTGATGGGATTTCTCAATATTGCAATAATTTTGAGGATTTTATTGGGCTTTTCCCAAGTATGTTATGCAATTTTTAGAGATTTCTTGGGATTTTGGGATTTAGTAAGATTTTGGGATTTTTCCAAAGATTTTTTTTGATTTTTGATGAAGTGTACGAAGATTTTCAGAGTAATTTACCCTTTTCAGAGTGAACCATAAAAAAGTCCATGCATGACAGAACCAACCCCTCCACCCCATTACTTTTCCAATCGTCCGTCCCTTAGTCATTATCATGACAATAGTGATTTTTGTTTCATGCAAGAACATGTTTTGCATGCTTTTGGCTTTAGCTTTTGTCATGATTTGGTTTTCTCGCCCATTAAGGTCACAGTGAAAACGGTCATGCCAGTCAGGCCTCACGCGAAGCTGTCGTAGAACGTTTGCCAGAAGCAAAACATCGAGTACGTACAGCAACTTACTGCTCATAAAAGTAATACATGCGCCTTAAAACTTTCCACCAAAATCATGAAAAAATACATTGGATAAGGGCTTGAAATGACATTCCCAAAGTTCTCGATCATGGTGTTCAGCTGTCATGACTTTCCCCCTTCAAAAATTTGTTTTATTGAGTGCATGAGATGCCCAAAATCTTTATATTTGTATAGGTAATAGTATGTTTCGAGTGCAGTTTGGAAAAAAACATGCACGAGCTAGTTTTTCAAAAACAATCAAGTCCAATTTGAAGTCTTTGAAAAACTCACGAGTGATGTTTTTTTCAAATTGCACGAGAAACCATACTATTACTTATTAATAATATACATGAAAAAATTATGCAGTCAGGTGCGTATAAAGTCACATTTAGAAATTAAGAAAATTAAGAAATTTGAAAAATTAATAATTAAGAAAATGAAAAAAATTTTAAAAATTAAGAAATTTGCACTGTATTTCTTTTTTTTTACACTGTATTTCATTTTTTTGGCACTGTATTTCGAGAAAATTGCACTGCCCGTAACCAATCAGAATATATACCGTGCATTTGCATCACCTTAATCAGTATTCATACAGTACATGAACTTGTGATTAGAGCTTGACAATGGACCTTTCACCTTTTGACTAAAATTTAGATTTCAACAAGTCTAGAGAAAAATTTTATCACAGCTTGAAAGAGCATCACAAAATTAGTAATATTCCGAAGTTTCGTTGCGAAATGCTGTAAAATGCGGATAATATAGCCTTGCGAAGTTTGCCATTTTCAGTCATTTTAGTCATTCCACAAGAAATGTCCATCTACAATTCCTTTCAAAAACTTGTTGGATTTAATTTACCTTTCGCAGGTTCGTCGAGATGTTTTAAGTGAAACGAAATATGTTGAATTAGTAGTGGTCAATGACGTCACTCAGGTAATGAATTTATTAATTAATTTTTATATTTGCAAATCATCACAATCACGTAAATCGTTGGGTACTGTTTTCATTTTAAAATACTCGATGTATTGTTTCTCTTCTAGTACAAAAAATATGGTTCAGAGACATCAACTCGTGCAATTGTGGCGGCAAATTTCGCTGATGCCGTAAGATATATATCTTAAATATTCTTGCACAAAAAATAATTAGGCCCTGCATGAATTCACTATGGCGAAAATCTACATAGTTTACCGTACGAAACGTTCCAACGGGGAAGAGGACAAGCCTTTCCAAGAAAACTGTTCATATGTTTGTGTGATGTTGTCTCTGAGTGTGTTTACACCGGGTAGGCTGAAATGTTTGCTTGACCGCGGTGGGAATCGAACCCGCTATCTTTGGTTTGCCAAAGCTTGCCCAGTGTGGTCAAACCTTTTCAGCTTGCCAGGTGTGCACACGCTCAGAGACAACATCACAAACATATATCTTCACCTGAGTGCATAAACACCAGAAACAGAAAAACTGTTTATTGCGGTTGGGCTAATCAAATATGAGCCTTCCATATTCTTTCTATGCGGAATTACCGGGATTTCTGGTAAACAATCTATAATTCTCTGTTCTCCCAGCTTTCCTACAAGTGGTGAAGGGGAGGGGGAGGGGAGAGATTATTCCCACTTTTCGATTCTCATTCTAAGCAGCAAATGTGTTGGTACCAGCCCCCACTCCCAGTCGTCCAAGCACCATTTCCCCAGCGAAATAAAAACCCCTGAAATTCCAAATGCCATTTTACCCTTTCACGACCTTTCTGTATTCCATTCTCTAGACGTACCGTGTTCAAAATATCCGAGTGGTGTTGACTATGATTGAAATTTGGAAAGATGTGGATCAGATCGTTAATTCAACGGAAAACGACAAATTCCTGAATAATTTTATTCAGTACAAGATAAATGTTTTAGATACAAACGAAACAACCAAGAGTGACCATGCTGTTTTAATTACGTAAGGAACATTAAACTGGGATTGTTTTGGTTTGTGAAAAATACCATGTTTCTCTGGAAGAGGTCTTCATCACTGTAAATAATTTGATGAAGATCTGGACTAATGAATCGAAAGATTTCCCAAATTAATAGATATGGTATATCACCCGACGTGATGATAAACCTCTCTAATTTGAGATTAAATGTTTTATTTTTTATTAGCACAAGTATTTGTCGCTTTTCTTTGAAATTGTATATCTTTTGAAATATTGCTGGTAACGTGTTCAAAATTTGCTTCAAAATTTTTAATAAAACGAGCTCTCTTTGTCATCAGTCTGATCACTCTCTTTTGTCCGCCATCTTGTTTACGTGATCGCCACGCGTGGATTTCGCAAATCATATCAACCCTCGACGTTCTTGCGATGCAAACAGCCTCGTACCCAGGCGCAAATAACGTACTAAAAATAGCAACACTACAGTGTTTTTATATAGATCAGTGGCTAAGATGAGCGAGAATCCCGTCGTGTCCTGACCTAGCACCCCCGCGCGCTCGCTCATCTTAGCCACTGATCTATATAAAAACACTGTAGTGTTGCTATTTTTAGTACGTTATTTGCGCCTGGGTACGAGGCTGCCATGCAAAGGGGATTGCATTTCTACTAGAGGCAACGCGCCCATCAGTTAATTTTATTAAATTAATCATTTATCAATTATCAATCATCCAAGTGGGGCTAATGGCTGTAAACGGATGTATGGCAAGTTATAACTTTATTTGTTTTTAGTCAAAGGCCGTTGCAATATAATCGTCAGGGATGGGCTGGCATTGGGACAATTTGTTCTCCAAGATCAGCGTCTTTAGTTTATGTAAGTGAATAACTGTCAGTCGGTTTGAGCGGTCTGTTGGGTGCGATCGGTCTGTCGTTCGGCTTGGCAGTCAATATAGGTCGGTCAGTCAGTCAGTTTGTCTGTCGGTGGTCTGTCAATCGGCTGGTCCATCAATAGCTCGGTCGGTCAGTCAGCCTGCAGTTGGTCTGTCTGTGAGTTTGTCCCCGAGCCGACGGCGCGCCGTGCGAGGGTTCTAATTCCGCACGGCTATTTACACCCGGGTGTTTGAGAATATAGCGAAGTGCAAAGTTGTCCCAGTGAGTTGTCCTCCATTATGTGATGGACGGTCTTCGACGTTATGCGCGTGCGCGAGTACAAGCTCGCACTAAAAAGTGTTTTTCATTTTGCAAAGATGTATTTCGCCGTTATATTTTTGCGATGCATTTCGCTTTAAACTGGAAACAAGCCTGCAGTTTCATGAACTAGTGGTTGTCAACCGTGAAACAAAATGTGAAAGGCATGTACAAACACGAATTTTGTCGAAGACGAACCACAGACGGCCCAGACGTGTATTAGTGTATAGTAAATATATCATTATAGAATATACTACACAGTAAAATTTGTAATGAATTTTATATTTTAAAATCATATTTACTTCCCTACTTTGATTGTATGTGATCGTCTTTTATTTCTGGGCGACTTTACACTTTGTGCCTGCGACTGTCAACATAGGTGACAGCCATTCAGCGGTCAGTCATACATCTAACAAATAATTCCACTAAATCTGAGTATTTTACATTATACAGGACACAAGTACCAAAGACATCTTTGGAGCAATTTTGGCACATGAATTGGGACACAGTTTTGGTTTCGACCATATTGAAACTGGTATGATGTTTTATGTTGTTCCACATTCTCTTCAACACGCGAAACGATTCTGTTGCATCGAACCTGTATTTCTTTTAACAGGGTGTTCATGCAGAGACTCTGAACATAGATGTCTTATGAATAGTTATGTGAGGTATGTCAGATCTTATGTTAAGATATCGCGGTGCTCTTTGCCGCTGAGTTATTCCTGCTACTGTAGTTAGAGGTTAAGAGGTTACTTGGGTAAATTCCTTGTGCTCGAAAACTCATGTAATTAGATTTGTGATTTTTCTTCATCAGTTTTTCTCCCTTCCAAAACTCGCCCTTCCACCTTATGATGTGCTCCGTGAACAGATATAGTGGTAGTCAGACTCGCCTTCGAAACGATCGTTTGCAATTACATATACATCTATACATATATGGCTTTTATTTCATCACGCTATAGCCTCTCTCAACTTTTTTTAGAATACAAACTAAGCTCGTTTACGGGATGGGCGTAATTGCTAGACATTCCAAGTACTTAACTATTACTACTACAACTGCTATGCATTAGGTTATTTACAAGTTAAATTAAACATTTTACAATGAAATTGAAGAAGTTCAAGAACAGAAAGTACATGCAGTATGCACGTGACCATCTGCCAGTCTATGTAAACTACAGTATATATTCAATTATATAGGAGGTATGCGGTTGCAGTAAACAGCAGATCGTAATGCAACGTCTAAATTGATAAAGTGAGGTTGCATTCTTTCCTGCAGACGGAAGGTTGTCCCACAACATCCGACCCACTATATCTAAAACTTCGCTTGAGGAAATTCGTTTTTTGTTTTGGTAGTTTAAAATCATGCAGTTTCGTAAGTTGTAACCTCTATTACGATCTCTGAGTCTTCAGCTAGCTCTTAAACACGGCGTAGAATTCTCATCGAGAACCTTATTTACAGCAGGACACTTTCCGGCATGAGCACTCAGTTGCAAGAAAATATATGTTTAACATGCCCTAACTTTACCTATTTCTATGAATTTGGCACGAGATCGAAGTACATGCATTATACTGACTGAAACTTCGCTGATATTATCTTTTGTATTTTCAACAGTGGTGGTCAGTTAAAATGGTCAAATTGTACTGAAGCAAAATTGAGAAGTGTTTTGGAAAGAAACTACGGAACGTGTTTATTTAATCAGCCAACAAAGCGGGTTTGTAAAACACTTTAATATTTCTATTAACATTTCTAAATTAATACTTCTCCTTTTACCAGAGAACTCTGATGTGGGCCACAGGGATGACTTTCTCGTTCTAAATTGTTTCTAGCACAATACTAATGCTGAATGCCAGAATGGTTTCATTGATGATGAGGAAGAATGTGATTGTGGAACGAAAGAGGTAGTTTAGTTTTATGTACTGTTTAATAAACGAGCAGGAGTGTTTTATTAGGTTTAAAGCCACGAGCGCGCAGCGCGAGTGGCTTTAGACCTAATAAAACACGACCTGCGAGTTTATTAAATGGCTTCAAACACGACTACAAATTCAATAGATTTACTGCCTTATTAGTATTCTTTATATAAAGCATACTAATGAGGGCAGGACTACAATAGATACTGCCTTATTAGTATTCTTTATATAAAGAATACTAAATTAGGAGTGTTTTATCAGGTTTAAAGCCACTGCACGTGACATATTATGGTTGACATGATTTGCCAATAAGCTTATGAATTATTAATGAGTGTTTGAAAAACTAATAATACATTCATGTTGGTTTTCCAAATGCAGTCAAATCACCTGCTGCATGAAAAAGGTTTCTGAGCGTCCCAATCACTGTGGTCCCAATATGCATAAATAGTTCTGTTTGTCGCAATCGGACGACCTCGATAGCCCAGTGGTTAAAGAGCGCTAATTTTGCGCTGATTCGTTAAACCAGAGACTTTGGGTTCGATTTCCAGTTGGGGTGCTCAGAAACATTTTCTTCAGCAGATGATTATTGATTTGACTCCGGTCGATTTCCGGTTTTGTGTGCTCAAAAACCAACGTTAGGGCTGCTTTAATTTACACTATCAAAGTTTCTGTGATAGTTTAAGTAGGAGTTTTGCATAGGTAAATCTAAGTTCTGAAGGATTTGTAAGACATTTTTGACAGAACTGACGCTCAATCTCTTGGCGAATCTTACCGCTTTTCTTGATCTGAAAGGCGGGCTATCCGTGAGGGGGCTTAATTTATTCTATTCATGTTCTTCTTTGTCAGGAATGTGAACGAATGGGGAACCACTGTTGTAACTACACAACATGTAAGCTTCATCCAGGCAGTGAATGTGATGTTGGACCGTGCTGTCAAAACTGCAAGGTATATTAGGCTGGTTTACGCTATCAAAGTTTCTGTGATCACAGTAGATTTTTGAAAGATTTGTGAGAAATGTTTGAGGAAACTGACTCAGTGTTACTCTGGCTATTTATGGTAGAATATGCTACTGTGGTGTATTGGACACCTGTGGCTTAAACACTAGATATTGGTAAACAAAATTGCTGCAACTTACAATAAAAACTGATTTCAGTGCATGTTAGTTATAGAGATTAGAGGTACTCGGAGACAAACACAAAAACGCATAGCCTTCTGGCTGAGATAATTAATATGTGTTGAAATCAGATTTTGTTGCAAGTTGTTGGTCGTATATTGGTTCATATTAAGGAAAGAATTGAGCAAATATTACAATCTCGCAAGCCAGGCTTTTATATACTTTCGCTTCTGCATGTCTTATGGTTTTGCTCATATTTTGGATTTTCAAGGACAGAGTCAGGTGCTTTTTTGTGACTGGGCTAGAAAAGTAGTTGTGTTTATCTAGGAAAATATTTCTAAATGACAACGTATTACAAGATTACCAGGTTGACTTGGACTTAAATCTAAATATTTTTCTCCGCCACCAGATAAAATCCAAAGGTTTGATATGTCGAGACAAAGTCAATGACTGCGACCTTCCCGAATATTGTGATGGCAAAAGTCAAGTTGTAAGTTTGGCTCAATTTCCATATTAACATTTAATATAAACTATCCTTGAAGTTGAACCATTTCAAATCCTTGTTAGGGACTGGTCATAAAGTAACTGCAAGGGTGGGCTGGAGGCAAATCACAAATTTTGCCAATAAGTTTGGTGACCCATCTTAGGATGTAGATAAAAATTTCAAAGCCCATCTAATCTTACAAAAAAAATTTCATGACCCACCCAATCTAAATTGGGAAAATACACTTTTATAATAAAAAAAACTTGAATTTATTTTTTTAATTCATAATTTCACCAAGCTTGACCAACACATTCATCACCAATTACGGTACGACTGAGCTGCTCTCCAGTTGGTTGTATTTGCTGTAATTGGACCACTTCTTGTTGTTGTATAAACAAAGTACTGGCTTCAATAGCATCATTTGCACTTGATAATTTGGATAGTTTTGTTTACTTTTATTATTAATATCTTTATTTTTTGAAGTAGCATGGGTTTTTGTTTGGTGACCCACCGTGGACATACAAAAAAATTGGCGGCCCATCGAAACTGCCCAAAAATTTTCCATGGCCCATCCCAAATCACTCCAGCCCACCCTAGCAGTTACTTTATGACCGGTCCCTTATCCTAAATCCAAACACAACATATCCTTAATCACAGACCTGTACTTTTCCTAACTTTAACTCTCAAGGCGAAATATCGTGGGAACGTGGCCCACATAATACGATTCATGTCATTAACAAATACGAACACTGAAATATTTTTCTACGATCTCCTACGTTTTTAGTGTGGACCAGATACTTATGTTCACAATGGCAGACCATGCAGCTTTGGACAGGTTTGTCTTTTATTAGTTTTAATTAAGTTTTTGAAATACAGTATACCTGTATAGTATTACTTACATAAAATACTTCTAATTTTTAGGAGAAAAGCCTCTGTTACTTTGGAGTTTGTCATACTTATGATAACCAGTGCAAGTCGTATTGGGGTGCAGGTATAGCTAGATTATTTATATAGTGGATTTTATTGAGTGACAGACATTGTCCCACTTAGTATATAGAGCGTTTGCACATGACGTCACAGCCGCCACGTTGGTGTTCCAATTCAAAATGATTTCAATTAGACTCTTTTGTCTGGAACACCAATATGGCCGCCATGGCTTTTGCTGAGTTTTAAAATGATAGCAGGGCCTTTTTTAACATACAAGCTGGGGGGGGCCCCGGTTACTCTGTGCCCACACGAAATCACATAAAGAAACACTTTTAGGGAAAAGTCCCTTTTCCCTAAAATTATACAAATAAATCAGCGAAGATTAACAAATACATAAACGGAAAGTAAGTTTTAGGCTTTATCCTTTGTCCTTGTTTAACAAAATCGAATGCAGGAAATAGCATTTCCGGGTTTCAAATTTCAAAAATTTTCTGGGGATTATCCCTCTAATAAGTAATGAGAAATTACAGTTAATATTCTTTTTTACTTTTTGTGCATTTTTTCCATCTTTTATTTCAAATACAAGTATAGTTAGCATAAATTTTAGAGCAAATTTGGATGCTCAGAATGCAGGAAATGGCATTTCCGTGCTTCAAATTTCAAAAATTTTCTGGAGGAGTACACCCCCACACACGTGACCATTGCTATCCTCCTCTAATAAGTAATGAATTATGGTTAATATTTTTTTACTTTTTGTGTGTTTTTTTCCTTCTTTTATTTCAAATACAAGTATAGTTAGCATAAATTTTGGAGCAAATTTGGATGCTCAGAATGCAGGAAATGGCATTTCCGTGCTTCAAATTTCAAAAATTTTCTGGGGGAGTACACCCCCAGACTCAGACCCCCCATTCATGTGTGGTATGTTGGCCACACGCATGGCCTTCAGCCATTGCTATCCCCCTCTAATATATTATCTCACAGAAAGGTCCCTTTTCAAAAAATGCCCCCCCCCCCCCACGGGAAAATCCTTAAAAAAGGCCCTGAATGATAGTACGATTACAATGCATTCTAAACTCCCAGAGGTAATGAAGTTGCGGTGTTCACAAGAAAAGGGTGATTTCTAAAGGTTTGCTTTTTTTATACACCCTGTACAACAATGATAGTTAGGCATGTGAGTTATCTAAAGTTGTGAATTGGGTAGCAAACGAACGTTAGCCAAATTTGTCTATCAATGCAAATATTTGAAAAGCATTATTATTTAGCCATTAGTATTTTTGCACAAGTGAATACAGTATAACAAATCCTACAAGTTGATTGTTCAAATTTGACGTATTGAGCTGTTATATTCACCTGAATATGACAAAACCGAAATTTGCAAAATGGCGGCTAGCCGCGTTTTGTGGAAGTTACTGATAAAGAAATAAACGATGCAGTCTCAAAAAAATGCAGTCCCAAAAAAACACAAAAGTCTTGTGTATTAAAAATACTAAAACAATCAGTATTCGCCTCAGGCTCGATGATTATCGGGGAATATTCGCCTCGACTAGCTACGTCTCAGTGAATATTCCCCGATAATCACCTCGCTTTTGGCGAATAATTGTTAAATGTCCTTAAAAAAACTCAATAATAATTCATGAAGAAAACACACAGAAAAATCACAAGCGTGTCATATCTGTATATGTGATACAGATTCATGTTGATTTACATAAACTTAACTTTGATTTTCTCGGCTTAGACAACGTTTATTTTTAAAATTACTTCGCCAATGAACTCATAAGATGAGTCGTAGCCAATGAACTCGTAAGATGAATCCGATACAACACGGCCGTTCATGTTGTAAATAGTATTTACAACTGCACACGTGAGCGGACATTTGTCATATGTGAAATTGTTATAATCCGCACTGGACGAGTATACAGCAGATTTCGATCAACTGACTTGTACACGAGGTGGAATGTCAGACTTGTCCAGCAGGAGATTAGAACGTTAGGGTTTGTAATCCAAGTGAGTATATATACATTTTAAGACCCTTTAAGACCTTTTAAGACCACCTTATCACAACCCGCACACCCGATTACCTATATATACATGAACTTACGGTTACAGCTCAACAGCTGGCCTCTGTAGCTCAGTTGGTTAGAGCGCTGCACCGGAATCGCAGGGCCGTAGGTTCAATCCCTACCAGAGGACCTTGTGCTGCATTTTTCGCAGTCGTTCCTGGTCAGGTCTTAAAATGTATATATACTCACTTGCATTACAAACCCTAACATTCTAATATTAATTCCACCAAGTGAAGTGCAAGAAACCAAATCATTGAAATCCACCAGCAGGGGATTACTCTGTTTCGTCTTCATTAAGTTTCATCTAAATTGTTTGTTTAGATGCTTATCATTCGGAATTTTGTTACAATAATCTAAATGTCAGGAGTGATAAACATGGCTGTTGTAAGCTCCTTGGTCCTGACAAATACATGAAGTGTGCAAGAAAGTAAGTCTCTACTCACTGCAAGTTATTTATTTAATTGTTTAATTACTTATATTTATATTATCTTCGTGTCTGTATGTGTGAGTTGTATATCTGTGCGTTTGTCTGTCATGCAGCACGATAATACCAAACGTATTAATGACCATTGATATATTTGTAGGACAAAAGGTGGAGTTACACGTGCAGCAAAATTGCTGCAACCTGCAACAAAATCTGGTTTCAACGCATGTTAATTGAAAATGTTTACACATAAATTAAAAATCACAAGGCAACATATGTGTCGACATTTCTACTTAACATGCGTTGAAATCAGATTTTGTTGCAAGTTGCAGCAATTTTGTTGCACGTGTAACTCCAGCTTAAAGGACATTGTGTATCACAGGGTGTATCAAAAAAAAAACTGAACAGATTTGAAATCGCTCTCAATTTCGCAAAACACCTATTTGTATCCCGTTTTTTATATACAGGGTGTATCAAAATAAACGCAATTCATCTTTTGTGCTTAATAACTTTCGAAATACTATTTCTAGTTAAACGCTTTTAGGCTTACTTCAAAGCCTGTTCTTTTCTCTTTCAAACAAACCATTATCCTTGTCTCCAATGCTAGTAATAATTGCACAGGAAAAGATTTAGTAAAACCTATCATTTTTAGTTCCTGTTTAATTATGCAAGTTTACTATGTTATTGTTTAGTCGGTTTAAATGTTAGAATTTTCTTCTTTAAGCTTTAATGTTGTCGTCACTACATCTGGAAAACCACGTAAGAACAAATTAAAAGTATTTTAAAAGAGGCCAGGTTGTTTGAAAATCCTAAACGAATGCTAAAAATCGTCAAAACATTCTGGTGTCTGAGCCAGAGTGTCATCGAATTGCGATGTAAATATGTAAACAGAAATTATAGCAAGTTGATGTCAGTCAGCTTAGATGGTCCAAGCCAAAATTATATCGCATTTGAAGTTTCAAACTGAGTTAAAAATAGTGGAAGAAAAGCCATAATTATACTTATTGTTACAATCCATTTAATAAAATGCAACATTTTTTTGTTTTAATTAAAAAATAAGTTATTTTCATGAGAACGATTTGTTATTCCATCTCAATTTTTTTAATCTCCAATCGCAATAACGTAAAGTATTATTACCCGCGAACCAATGAGTCAAATTTAAGAAACAACCCACTGTTAGAAAGCTGAATGGGTACGCTTTAAAATGAATGTAAACTTTAAAGTTTTCGTGTATTATTTGTTTAGCAATTTACATTTTAGTCGAGGATTGCGCTTTTTTTTATACACCCTGTATATAGCTTCTTTGGGTACTTATAATGTAGAATAATGAAAAAAAATTCTCAAACTCAAATTTGGTGAACCAGGGGGGTGTGTCTTTTCCAACAAACTATAAATGGCTCGCGCACAAAATTTAAAAGTTTTAATCATATTTTGAGTTAATAGATTTTTAATTACTGTACAAAATTTCAGACAATTTGGTTTAGTTTAAGCCGTTTAACTATTCATTTTATTCTAAAAAATCAGCCTTTCGCATGCTTAATTAATGCATTTACCTAATTTGCATATTGCTAACATATGCAAATTAGGCAAATGCATTAATTAAGCATGCAAATAGCTGATTTTAGTAGGAAAAATGTAACTTTGCGTGAATAGTTAAACGGCTTAAACTAAACCAAATTGTCTGACATTTTGTACAGTAATTAAAAACCCGACAAATTTTCCATCTATTAACTCAAAATATGATTACAGCTTTTAAATTTTGTGCGCAAGCCATTTTTATTTTGTTGGAAAAGACACACCCCCCTGGTTCACAATATTTGAGTTCAAGAATTTTTTTTCATTATTCTATATTTTAAGTACCCAAAGAAGCTATATCTATAAAAAACCGGATCCAAATCGGTGTTTTGCGAAATTGAGAGCAATTTCAAATCTGTTCAGTTTTTTTTATACACCCTGTATAGTTGTTTATTCGTTTATTAGGGGCTGATTACATGGAACGATTTCAGCCCGGGCTGAGTTTCAGGCCGGCTACCCTGATATTTATCCATTAGTGTACTTATAGTCATTTAGTTAATCATTTGTTTGCCTATACTTCCCTATTTATATTTGCAGGGATGTACTATGCGGTAAACTTCAATGTAGAATGAGTAAAGAGATACCCTATAGAACACCATTGAAGGTTGGTCATCATGCAATCTTCGCAGGATTTCGAATTGGAACCAAAGTTGTTAAATGTTGGTTAGTTTCACATTCTTAATCATATCATCATTTTAGGCTGCGCCCGCATGAGGTTTCACATTCTTAATCATATCATCATTTTAGGCTGCGCCCACATGAGTCCCCCCCCCCCCCTCCTTGGTTTCACTTATTCTCACGGGAATTTCCGAATTTGTACGGTTAGTTGCTTGTAACAACAATTTTTGACTATATGAACGCATCGGTTGGCTGTAAATTCGGCTATGCATTGCATGACATTTAAAACAAAAAGGTTTAAAAAGCTAAGATTTTCAGGAACAAAAGATATAGCTATCATGTGGGCAACCCAACAAAGTGCCCGCCACTTTTTCATCGTGGAAATTCTAGTACGGTTTCGAATTTATCCACCGCCTTACTATAGTGTTCAAAATTTGGGAGGGTCAGTGTTGGCGGCGAGAAATGTACAGCTTTTCTTGGTTTCACGACTGCCCTCAGTGCGACTGCCACAAAATCTAAGCAAAAAAATCTACTTTTCCATGTTTCTACCTGGCAACAAGGGATACATTCTCTGCTCGAAACTTCTCTCAAAATTATTTTGCTTGTTTTATGCAGGAGTGTTAATTTGAGAACAGACGATCCAGATAGTGGTATAGTTGAGACAGGATCAATGTGTGGTGAGAACAAGGTACAGTAGAATTTCTTGTGGGTATGGGAGGTTGGCCCACTGCCGCTAAGTTAAACCTGCTACTATAGGACGAGGATGGTGGGATTTACATAAGGTAACTTCTCCGTGCTTGGGGGAACCCAGCTACCAGACCGCTCGTGTAAGCACACGCTACTTTTCCCGACGAATGGTCTTTACTCGAAATGTTCTGCGTATATTTTTCAGGTAGTTGTATCTCTCTCAATGTTATCGTCACCGACCCATCAACGCTAATTTAAGCCTGCTACTGTAGATCGAGGGTAGCCGATTTACTTATAAGGGTAACTTCACTGTGATTGAAGAACTGGTCAATGAGTAGAGTTGGATTATTTTTCTCCTGTACTTTGAGGGATTTTCTCTGGATCCTCTTGTTTTCCTCGGCTCGCTCGCCAAGGCGGCCTTGTCGTGAGATAAACGTTTGACAACATTCCGTGCACACGAGCAATAAAACCTGTTAAGGAAATCGTGTTGACCGTACACACACGAGAAGGTAAATTTGTCAAGGAAAGTTGTCAAGAAAAACTTGCTCGTTTGTACAGAGGTTACGCGTGCGATGTTTTTGACAACACGGATGACAACCGGAACTCAATTGCAGAGTTAGAGGATTACTCCTTTTATTCTCTAATTTGTGACTCATTCAATCGAGCCGTTATACAGGGTGTATAAAAAAAACTGAACAGATTTGAAATTCGCAAAACAGCTACTAGTATCCAGTTTTTGATGTATATAGCTTCGTTGGGTACTTATAATGTAGAAAAATGAATAAAATTTCTCGAACTCAAATTTTGTGCCACCAGGGATGTGTGTCTTTTCCGACAAACTAAAAATGGCTCGCGCACGAAATTTAGAAGCTTTAATCATATTTTAAGTTAATAGATGGGTTTTTAATTAGTGTACAAAATTTCAGACAATTTGCTAGCTTTAGTTTAAGCCCTTTAACTATTCACGCAAACTCGCATATTTTCTTAAAAAATCAGCTATTTGCATGCTAATTAATGCCTTTGCCTAACTAAAGCGAATTGTCTGAAATCATGGACCGTAATTAAAAACCCAACAAATTTTCTATCTATCAACTCAAAATATGATCAAAGCTTTTAAATTTCGTGCGCAAGCCATTTTTAGTTGTTTGTTGGAAAAGACACACACCCCTGGTTTACAAAATTTGAGTTCGAGAATTTTTTTTATTATTCTACATTATAAGTACCCAAAGAAACTATATATATCGTAATTAATCTTTCTCACGAAGGCCAAATTCGCCATTTTTGGGGTACTTTTATTGAAAACAACGTGAAAAATCTAAGCGATGTGAAAACATTTTTTCCAGTATTTAACTGTAAATTAACTTAAAATAATGATTCTACTCACAATTATAGTTATACAAATCCCTTATTCACTGCGTATTTTTGGAAATTTCAGATTTTTGAAAAAGGCAGTACCCAAAAATGGCGGCGCGAGAAAGGCTAATTATTATTGTTGCTATGTTGACCACAATGAATAATTCTTTGATGTGTTTCATGTGATAATATATTCTCAGGTGTGTTCCAACAACACATGTCTGGATGTCAAAGAAGTGTATGGTCAACCCGAGTGTCCAAATAATTGTTCTGGGAATGGAGTAAGTATTCCTTAACGCCCGCTTGCAGCCTGAACTTGTTTCAAATATTCGGGCTGAGAGCAGGCTGTCCTTAAAACGAGTTGGTCATAGCTACAATCACTGACAATGAATGGTGGGACACTTGGATTGAAAGGTACTAACATCTAAGCCCTCGTTGTCTCCCTTGCTGTATGCGCTGGGAGAGTTCTCAACAAAACAATAGAACGCAGAACCACTTCAGACAAAATGTCTGCCCCAGTGTTACTGTGTCAGCTAACCCACAGTTAAGGGCTAACCGGTCCACGAATTTTGTCACTGATTGTAGTTAATAAAGTTTATCTTTTTAGTTGATTTAGTTAATCAATATTAAGTCATAGGATTGGGTAGGGTAGGGTAGGGTAGGCTGGGCTGAGCTGCTGAGCAGCTGAGATGGGGTAGGGTAGGGTAGGGTAGGGTAGGGTAGGGTAGGGTAGGGTAGGGTAGGGTAGGGTAGGGTAGGGTAGGGTAGGGTGAGCATGGAAGGATAAGACACTGTAGGCTGCTTCTCAGCTATAACAGTATATAACTGGCTTTGTTTATGAACTTTTGAACTTCGGAATGAAGTTTGTAACATTGCGCAGTGAAAATTGAGTTCAAATCGACTGTGAGTCACCAGCTAACAACACTATTGGTTTAGATCTGTAACAATCTTGGTCATTGTCATTGTAACCCTGGTTACGGCTGTCTGAATTGTTCCGAGGAATGTGACAGTGAAGGTGGTAGTGTTGACAGTGGTAATAATTGTTACTGTCCAGGTGTGTATATCCATAAATCCTTTAATAACCCACACATACTATAATATAAGATCCTTTGGTACACAAATGTGCCCCTTGCTTATTAAGTGATCGGAATGTTCCATTGTCTTTTCATTGTTTTAAAAATCCCACTACTCACTGTTTTACATAGTTCTTATTTTTGAGTTGTTTATAAGCAAAGAGGCTAGTTTTACTTCTGGATTAAGCAAGCACTTGTGGGACGTTTATCATTGAAAGTCTGCATTGCATGAACTTTGCATTCTAAAACGAGATTAAATATTTGATTTAAAACATATTAGGTCCAACAACTGCTCCGAAGACCACTGAGATTGGTAAAACAACACGTCCACAAACAACTCATGAAACACCTAAATCACCAACTGAGCCTATTGCGACGACTAGCAGAATTTCTGAAGGTAATAAAAGTTCTATGTTAACTTCGTTCAATAACCCCCACACACTACTGTATAATATAAGATCCTTTGGTAGAAGAATGTGCCTCTTGCGTATCCAGTGATCGGAATGTTCCTTTGTCTTTTCATTGTTTTAAAAACCCCACCACTCACTGTGTTACATACTGTAGTTCTTATTTTTGTGTTGCTTATGAAACACCTAAAGAACCAACTGAGCCTATTGCGACGACTAGCAGAATTTCTGAAGGTAATAAAAGTTCCATGTTTATCATTATTCCCTGCTATGCTTTTTTTACCTAGAACAATATGTGAGTTATCTACAGTTGTGAATTGGGTATAATCAAACCTTCCCCAAATTTGTCTATTATCTGTTTATGTGTTAGTTTTGTCAAGTGTAATTATCACATGGCCAGAAATCCCGGACATAATTTATTCTATCTCCATAAAAATTTACATATCGCTTTGAAATATGACTTTAACTGTAAACAGTAAATTGTACAACGCGATGAGGTAAATCGCAAAATCAAAGAATATGGTAGATCGTTTCCAACTTGCCGAAATCGCTGGTGCTAAATCGAAGTTTGTCGATGTATCTAGTGTAATTTTGGCCTTAAAGTTGCTGTTTTTCCTGCTTTTTAGTTTATTCCAAGTGCAGTATTTTATATAGAGTTAAATAGACAAATGTAGTTAAAATTAACCTCTGTACAAATATAGAAAAAACAGGACTGGTAGTAACTTAAATCAGGCTAATTTTACACTAAATTCTTCGACAGGCTTTGTTTTGCATCCAGCGATTGCGGCAAATTGCAAATGATCTACTACATTCTCCGATTCTACGTTTACAACATTGCGTTGTACAATCTACCATATAATGTTGGAGCGATATTTTAAAGTGATATGCAAATTAGTTGAAAGTAAGTAGAATAAATTATGTCCGTGATTTCTGGCCATCTAGTTATTTGTTATCTTTGTTTTAAAAACAGGTGGGGAATCGACAGATGAGGAATCAACAGGTACTGCATGTTTATTAAAGGACATTGGCAATAAAAATTGGTTTGTCTCATTCAAAAGAACTTTTAAAATTATATATTAAACTCTATTACCGATTTGTCATATTTTGCTTAGTTCTCGAAATATTTAGACCGAAATTAATGAGCTTTCCGCCATCTTGGAAAAATGCTTTACCTCATTAACTATGGTTTTGATGACGTCAGGAGTTGGGTTAACCATATAAAACTACTCGAAAATGACCGAATAACAATCCAAAATTGTTTGAAATGTTTTTAATCATTTCTAAATTTCTGACAGCAACCAGAAACGAAGTTTTGGACCCATACTGATCGCTTACTGTCAAGATAAAAACATTAGCGTGACCCCTCTCTTGACGTAACATGCATATCCTCAATAATCCAAGATGGCGAACAGCTCACTTTTTTCAGTCGAAATATTTTGAAAACTAAGCAAGATATAAACAATCTGTAATAGAGTTTAATATATAATTTTAAGAGTTCTTTCAAATGAACTAAACTAATTTTTTATTGCCAATGTCCTTTAATTGAAATAGCTGTATGATAGTAAAGCAAATGAACAAAAACAAAACGAAATAAAACTGTTTATATATACATAGATTTATAAATTTACACTCTTATGTACTTTTAAATATATCATTTGTAAATTCTGAACGCTGATTGGCTAAGAGCCGTGTTGATATAACTCAATGTCAACACGGAAACGTCGGAAAATTTCTTTCTTTATATTTTTGAGGGGAAATATTAAGGTGTTGGCCTTTACGTTTTGGCCATTTTTTGCCCCTTTTTAGAAAATGAAAAATGGGCGAAATGGACGATAAGTCAAGGTTTTTTTTTAATTTTTCAAAAATTCGACAAAAATTTAAGATTGATCTTTTGCCATTTTTCGCCACTTTTTCAATTTTTCGAAAAGTGATAAAAAATGGTGAAAAAGTAGGGTTTTTTTGATAAATTATTAACCTTAACATTTTTCAAAGAAAATTTTTGTTTTTTTTGTTTTTTAAAAAGTGGGTAAAATTCAAGAAAAATTTCTGGCTTACCCGTTGAAGTGCCCCAACCTCAATCTCGATAAAATGTTGTGGGGTTAATTATATTCTTTATTACACACATCATGAAAAATAGAATTCTTGGATAAACATTTTTCGAGGTATAGAAATATTACTTTCTCCAAAAATTTCAGTGCTCTAGGAATTCAACCCAGAAACGAACAAGTACTGTATTCTTTAAAATTGCAAGACTAGGTTAAGTTATATAGTGGTCTGGCATTATACTAGTTAGAGAATTTCTGTCAATGATTTGCTTGACTTCGTTTTTCGGAAAATAATTAATAACTTCACATGCATTCTTAAAACATCTTTCTTCGCGGATAAAGTCCTGCAGTCGGGTACGAATTCTTGTTGTGTTGATGACAGTTGGCATTCACAAATAAAATAAAGTTTTAGCTATAGTATTCAACTACAGGAACTACATCCGACTTAAATGGAATACGTAACAGTTGGAAAGCATTAAGAACAGCTAACTAAGATCGCATTGTAATGCTGACCCTCATGCAATCTCCCATCCCGAGTTTGTGATCCGTGCCTTTGCTTGAAAAAAACTTAAATCTTAATAAATATTTATTAACTTGATATTTAAGGAACAAAACGGTTCTTGACACTTTGAACAATTTGAGGCGAAAGTTTGAACTTTAATTTGGAAAGGTATTTGAATACGATCCAGAATATGGGGATCCATTTCGCAGAGTTTCACTCCAAGAGAGTAAACGCTGACCACTGCAGTGGCGTTTTAAATTTAGAGTCTCTGAAATGCCATTTCCTGGACTTTGGGGAAGATTTGGCAGAATTCTGATGGTCAGAAAACAGCGTTTTAGCTATGTCGAAATTTATAATTTGTTTACAATTTAGTAGTACTAAATTTTACTGTCTAAATGGGCGAAGGCGTATTTGATGAACAATATTAATATATTGGATAAGTTGCAGGAAAGTATGGGTAATATCTTCATTCTTTGCAGTTTGTCATGGATAATGTAGCCGCTTAAAATTAATCAATTGTCAGTATTTTAAAGGTATATTACTTAAATGATAAATGATTAATGATTTTAAAGGTATATTACTTAAATGATTATTAGCAAATTATGGGGGGGGGGGGGCTGCAGCCCCCCAGCCCCACCGGTTTGCTACGGCCCTGCCGGCACTGTGTCACCAAACTGGGCCGGAAACATTTGAGAGTCAAAGACATGAATAAAAATATCGAGTAAAATTTCTCAAATATATGAGCAAACTGTAAATCTCTTTACTCCTAAATGTTTTAATCATTGTAGCTGCATTAATTTTAAGTTTTTGTGTAAAAGATCAAAATACGAACTCAGGGATTTTGAAGAGCATGTATATCTTAGAGCATGCATGTCTTATTTAAAACTATTATATATTCAGTCTCATGCAACAGTACTAAATTCGTCCCGAACACGGACACTGTTTTTTGTTTTGGAATTTTTAGTTTTATGCCAAACGAAAAATAATAATCACCCGAGGAAAACCGGATCGCGAGATCCGGTGAAAAACCTTGGTGATTATGAGTACCGGATGCCGGAGACCGCGGGGATAACCCTCCCACCTACGAAATATCTAACTAATATAAACCATACCTACCACACAACCCACCTTCATTGCATTTGTAAACCAAAAAAAAGAAAAAAATGTCAAGAAATAAAACCACGAAAAAAATTTCCACGAGTCGTTCCAGAGAACAATGTAGACCGCGCGGAAATTTAGTCCACATTTGCGCAAGACAAATATTCCTCTTTGGGATCAAGTTGTTCACCGAGGTTTATTTATCTTAAACTTGAAACCTGAAAATATATTGAAAATATGTTCAGGACAAGGTGCGTGGCAAATGAATCCAATGGTTAACATATTTTACGGCAGTTGGCCATTGTAAAAGCGGTTAAACTTGAATGCATTTTTAGTATGGGATGTGTGCATTTCTATGTTAGTTTTTGCGCATTTCTTTTGCTTTTAGCGCGCGCAGAAATTCTCAACGCGCGCAACTAATTTAAATTAGCATGCACTGAACGTCGTGCCCTTAACTATACTAAGCATGCAATTTAGCGCGTCTAATTTTAATAAGCATGAAACTTCGCGCTCTTAATTCTAATCAACATGCACCGTAATTTCTTTTTTCAAAGCTAGACTTGTTTCAAGTCTAGAGCACACGTCACTATATATATTTGCGCATGGAGTACACTCAATGAATGTACTCCCGCAATGCAGCAGCACGCGCGCGCCGCTTATGTTAATTCGCTGCGTTCGACGAAGCCTATTTATGAACAAAGCAAGACAACGCGGAATGCAACATGGCAAACATTCTACGTTGCTATGGCGATCATACATAAACTTGATCTGCATAGTGTTTTCATGGCGACCATGTTTGGGGACACATTTAAAGTGCCGAAATTCTAGTAAACAAGGAGAACATCGTTTTAAGCAAATGTCCGTCAACAACGCAACACATGAAAACACCATATTTTCCTGGCGGTCTCTTCAATTTTAAACTCATGGTAGAACTTATAACGCGCGCGCAGTGCATTAGCAACCTAAAGAAACGAGCCTGTCTCCACTTTGGGGCCAGAACTACGTTTCTTATCGTTAAGCACCCAATCCAGGACATTTTTGGCAGAAAACATATTTTCTTTTTTGTTTATTTTTTCTGCAACGAGTATTCCTGGATTATTGTTGCTTATATTCAAAGTGCTTCGCGCTCTTTTATTTTTTTCGATTTTCATTTTTTTGCAATTTTTCCTTTTTATTTTTTTTCTCATTTCTTGCCACTTTGATTCACTATAAAGTATTCTTTCAGTAGGAAAACGGATTCCATTTTTCTGCTCTATTGAATACTTTACAGTCAGTTACTGGCGCAAAGATGGCGAACCTTATAGTAATATACAAAACCATTAGCTATAGAACACAGCTATTTCCTTTAATTTAAGGTTGTCCCCGAGCAAAACGGAAAAGTCGAATACGAGCACGAAAGGCTTGCTGGGAATCGCTAAAAAATTTTTTTAGCGATTCCCAGCAAGCCTTTCGCGCTCGTATTCGACTTTTCCGCTTTGCTCGGGGACAACCTTAATTGAAATAGCTGTATAAACAGAAGCGAAAACGCCCTAATTCCTAGCTGCCTAACCTTTCAAGCTAATGCATAGTATTTTTCAAAAACCTGCAAAGGAATGCCCCCGAATGTGGAGTCTCGGTCATGCCCTTAGCCTAACTTAACCTAGTGCCATCGCACCTGGTGAGCTTCCACAAACAGGGGCGAGGTTTGCATGCCTTATGTTAATTGTCTTCCACGAAGTCGTTGAGCCAACATTTACTGCTATAACAGAGAGGGGAGCTAATCTCTGGTAGCGAACTGTTTTCATATAACACGGGGCAGAAAACTAACGTTCGAAACCAGCGATATACATGCATTATGGGAAAAAAATATAGAACTCTCTGAGTTCTATATTAAGCATAGACTATATTTATCTTTACAATTGTGTTATTACAGTCCTAAGCTTGTCAGCGTCTTCTGTGGGAGGATCGATATCGGAGTACCCGGATAAAACCCACATCTTCCAAAAAATCTTTTCCACCAAATCCTGCACGATATCCACCAATCTTCTTACAGGTACCATTTGTACCCTCTAAGCTATGGATACCATTTGCACCCAGTTTACTTTTATCCTCCCAAGAAATACTATACCAGCTTTTCAACAAAATGTTGGCTATACCATTATACTATGTACACGCTAACCTGAGTATCAGGCCGTACTTTTTAG